TCAGTGCACAGACCTTTCTCCATGGAAAATTTACACAGGAGATGAAACTGGAGACAACAGACAGAGGTTACCATCTGCCTCCGGGTATCCAAACATACTTGCAGGGTCTGGCTGCAGTCAGCAGAACTGTGGAGCTGGGGAGAGATGTTGTGCCACTGAGAGGTCCCCATCTGTTGCATAAAGTCCAGGAAAGGACACTCCGTGCCTTTTATCTGATGGTGTTCCTGCTCTTAACTGTTGAACTGGAAATATGTCCCAACCTTTGAGACTCTCCTATCAGTCCTGGCTGGTAGCTGCCCAGAAATTTTTGCCCATACTGGCAATTTATTTAGAAACATCACACTGAGAAAACAATAACCTTGCTGCCTGCCAGGTTTAGCTGAGTCCACTTTTAACAACAGAGAGCTTAAAAAAACAACAACACAATTTATTTTACTGGAGCAAAACCATGAAACTCCTGGCTGCACAGCTGGAAATGCAGTGACAAAGAACAGCATTGAACAAGTCAGTTAGTGCAAAGCCCTCAAAGCTGCTCACCAGTATTTTCTGAGCTACACCAGCTAATGGCAGCCCTACAGGACGTTACCTCAATGCTGCAGCTCCCCAGAGCAGACCAAGACTGGGTCTAATAATACTCAATGTCCACGAAAATGCAGTTGTGGGTAAATAAAACATACTTAAGTGACTAAGAGTAGGATTGGGCTAGCTAAACTGGTTAATTCTGGATGCTTCTATGAATACAAATGAAATATTGTTTCATACAACAAGAGCTTGGTTCAGGGCTGGGAACACGCTGCCTCTGCCATCCCTTGACTTCACAATGTCCTCCTTGTGGAAGATGCTCTGGCTCAGCATGGCCTTGCCTGCCTGCCTCCAACATTGTGGCATTTTTCACGGCTCCACCAGGACTTGGAAGGGCCACAGAACAAAAATAGTGTTCTTGCTTCAAGATGTTTGTTCTTCCCATGCTTTGGGATGTATCGCCCAGGAGGTCAGAGGTGTCATAATGCAGATGGCTGGCTTGGTGCCCAAGCAATGCCAGCTGGCAAGCTGAGGACGTGGGGCACTGAGCTGCACCCTCCTGCTGCACCCCTGTAACATAAATTCCTGTCTGAATGCAAGGGCTGAGCCCTCAGTAGGCTTCTTGGTTGCTGTTGCTGCTCCTTCATCAGAAAGTGCTGCTCCAGACATGACATACTGCAGCTGATAGAAACCTGCTTCTAATTTATAGTTTATTTCTGGCCCTTTTTATATGCCAATATTCCTCTCCAGTCTAAATAGCTCCTTTCCCTTTTTAGTCAGAACAAGCACTCCATGATGTCCTCCTGCAGAGCTTTCCTTCCCCCATTCTTGGCTGCTAGGGCTACAAGCCGAGCTCTTTACTCTCCTCACATCCAAAGGGCTCTCAGTGCCACTGCCTGGACTTGGGTCCCTTCACCATGCCTGTCACCGGGGCTATTGTTCAGGCCCAACACATAGTACAGTCTATTTTTTTAAAAGCAGAAGTGCCAACTGCCTGCAATACAACAGGCAATCATATTCTTTTACTCCCAAAGTGTAAAGGTCTGGCTAAGGAAAAATACCATTTGTTGACCGTGGTTTGCTGCATTGCCTGCTTTTTTGCATGGGTTGAGTAACACACCCCGCTACTTTACTAAATGCCATCGTGGGACAGTCTGGTCAGGGATAAAGGGAGATTTGTCTTCAGCAACACCTAGGAAAGATGCAAGCCAGCGCACATTGGCACTTACCTGTTGCTTTGAACACTATCACAATCTTTCAGAAATGTGGACTCTGCAGGAGGGGCAATAGAGTCTTCCTCCTCAGAAAGTCACAGAAGAGCTGTCCTAGAGTCAGGCTAGAAAAAGGCCCCTGATAGAAATTTTCAGTGGCTTGGATTAGCACCTATCATGAGCACCATGCCATTCAATAAGTCAGTTCTGCAGGAGGAGACACTCACAGCAGCAGCACACACAAATTTAAAATTCTGCTCTAAATGTTAACTATTGCAACCAGACAGTGGCTTAACAGGCACCAGCCTACAGATTGTTTTTAGTGTATCAGCAATTTAAATAACTCAAAATGCCACAATTAGATCCTGTTAAAAACATACTTTGGATAATTAGGCTATATTTTAATTAAACATTAATTTATGTAATTTGTTATTGTGGTAATTATGATTCAAGCACGGGAACAATCAGAATGGTGGATTTAGCATGTCCCTCTGTGATGCTGCACGATTCATGTCATTGGTCACCTAATACCCAAGTGCCACTGGAGTGGCAAAACAATAGCCACTGTCCTGAGAAGCTACTGGGGAAATCGTATTCACATGTTAATCGGTACTTAGGTTTCTGGGAAAGCAAAAGATAAGGCAACATTAATGAAAGAGATAATGCATAATGATCCAGTATGTTAATTTTTCAAAATGACTTTTTTCACCTGGATAATTTTATTGCTTTCACCATCCCAGAGTAGTCAGATACTGGACCTTTGTTACTGCTAGACACCTATCCATTTGCTGGGCACCCAGAAATCTTTGACGCTCTGGACCAGCAGCCCAGCCTTTTGCAAAATTTTATGTAGTTGCAGAAATTTTAATTTTAAGCAAAAATATTCAGTTCCAAGCTCATGTATTTGACTGTTGGTTAAAGAACTTCTGGTGTGGCTGTTTACTGGGCAAGCATGTCTTACTGCATTGATTGTCTGTCTCATATATATTTAAAATCACTCACCTGAAGACTCCATCTCCATGTTGTTATGGGATTGCAGCATCCCTGCACGGCTGAGAAGGAATGGCACATCTCGTAGATATTTGTCAACTTCTGACAGCTTCAGAGCATGAGATTCAGTGTGGGTAAAAGGAAACAAGCTGAAGGCCTGAGACTTAAAGAAAAATAAGGGAGAGGCAGAACAGTCAATAGCAACTTCACAGTAAAAAATGAAAAAATAAAAGCATGTTTTGTTACATGCAACCTCACCTCTACATTAGCATTACGACAGTCCATGTTTCACAGTGACACCTACGAACACATATGATCTCCCTGTTACAGGTTTCCTCCCCAGCTGTACAGCTTTTCCTTTTTTCCAGTGGAAGACTGAAGCATGGAGACACATCTTTTGGCTCGCTGTGGGCTCTAGGATGTGTGTTCATGTGCAGGAATATGTGCGTGTTGATGTGTGTGTGTGTGTGTGTGTGTACATCTTTCCACATCTGTTCTTCTGCTGTACCTGCCAAATGCTTGGTGATCTTTGTAAGCTCTTTCCCTGGAAAAAGCTTCTGATGCCTTTTCTGCCTATGGAGAAATGGAGATAAAGCCAAGTCCAGTCCTTGGCTTGGCAAGTAGCTATCCTAATGATACTGTGACCCAGGGAGGAAATCCATCCAAGAGACATCTGCATCTTTACCACATTGGGCATTGCTTTTGGAATGCCAAATTAGCGTTATTTGTCTGCAAGAATATCAAGCACGCTTCATTAACTCAAAACTAAATAATATTTCTGAAAAGCTGCTTGTGGTTTGCTTTTTTTCTTTAAAGCATATGTTTTCCTTTGAAATTTAGATCTCCATACCCAGGGCCCTCATGGTTCAAGCACACCAGATGACTGCAACTAGCATGCTTCACAGGCACATTACCCCTGACATGGAGGGGGAAATGCAACAACCGCACCCCCAGCCAGTGATGAACCTCTTGGAAGGACTGTCCAGAGGAAAGGCAGTTGTGGTTGGTGCGTGTCTCTGTAGGGAAAAAGGCACTAAGATAACCACATTGTTCATGCTGACTATTCATGAACCAGCATCTTTAAATTACCTCTCAGATAAAAGTTATTGCTAACCTACAAGTCATTAACACAAGAAGCTACGTAGGATGCCCTAAGGATCCTCAGCATTGGCTCTGAACCCTATTGCCTTCCAAGTGCTTCTCTGTTTTTATACATACAGAGTAACTGTTCCTATATTCAGTGAGCACAGCGATGAAGGTGCAGGCCCTTGCCCTCAAAAGCCAGATTTTAAGGCCCACAGAGGTACTCAAAGCCACCACACCTGACCCTGAGTGCTACTCCTAAGACTTGGCTGTGATAAACAGCATGGCACTGAGCCAAACAGCAGAGATGCAGCCGAGCCAGCCCAGGTCTGGAAGCTGGGCTGCTCAGCTGGGAGACTTTGTGCCTGAGCAATCATGGCCAGCCATGCTTCGGGCCTCTGTTGGGGAAGGCTGAAGGCCCTTACAGCTCAGGACAGTGCTAGCCCTGCCATGCCATGCTACATGTCGTGGGGTTGACATTCCTACCCTACTCATTCAATTGAACTGCACAGCCTGTACAATGATGGATGGAATTGTGGAATGCAGAGGTGGTGAGCTGAAATGCTGTCCTCTCACACTCTGCCTGGTCTTACAGAAGCACGATGGATGGTCCCCATGAGCATCTTCCCTGATGCAAGTCATCAGAGAAGTTTGTTTGCTAGGTCAGAACCCCTGCATGCATGCTCAGTCTCTGGTTTGGGAAACAAGGCAACCAGCACACTGCAGCCTACATCATCATTTCCAAGGAGATATTTTCACTTGTTCACTCAAAGAAAATATCACCACACACACTATTTGTATGATAAAATCGTACCTGAGCTGAGGTTTGAGCACTCACACAAAACTTGCAGCAGGTAATCTCAGCAGGCAGCCCCAGGTCAGGGCTTCTTGAGGCACCAGCGTGGTTAATGACAACAGTTTACGAGAAGCAAAGCTGCTGTGAGGACAAGCTGACTGGTTAAATTGCAGAGAACTAAACCAACTCTTCACATTTAAATATTCAAAAAAAATGTTATTTTTAATACATATTACTGGAAGGAATTAGGAGAAGAGGGTGAATATTTTATCACCATTACTATATTTAGCAAGCTTTAGGGTTAGAAGTGCTGGGATACCTGATGACACTACTTTCTGTGATTAAAGAAACCATGGGGCATGTTTCAAGAGGGGGAGGAGAAATGAGAGTTCCTTATCTTGATTTTTTGTTGTTTTATTTTGTGGTCAGACATAGTTTTAGATCAGGACATGTTGTAATTGGTGAGAGATGAAAGGAAGAGAGGGCATGTTCATTTATTTATTTTCTGATAGACCATCAAAAAAAAAAAAAAAAAGAGTGATTAAACCAACAAACTTTCTTTAATAAATTAATAGCAGCATCACAAAACCCTGATGTTAATGACCCAAAGGAAGTTGGGCAATTGACAGTATTTAATCATTCACAAAAATGTTATCACCCGCTGGTCGGGAGAGAACACAGGCTCTATAAGGCAGTCCCCTTGTCTGGTTATCTATAGAAGTAGCATACATCAGAACGGGTCCAGCTGAGTAGCAACACTTAACATATTTACAGTTCTGGTGCTGAATTTCTTAAAAACATATATAAAAAATCTGTAAATTCTCAGTTCAGTTCTCATTATTTACATCCAAATATAGTAGGTTCCCTTTTTGCCCATACAACAGACCTGGCAAGGGTAAGACATGAAGGCTCCTATGCAATGAAAATGTATTTGTGTGAACTTACACCAAGTTCGAGGATGCTGTGGCAAATGAGCTATTCACATATGACCTATTCACATGTGCTAGAAGCTACTGTAATTCAACTTATTGCTAAATGCTTTCAAAGTCTGTGGTTGGCTTTTATATATATATATGTATATATACGTACACACACACATATATATATACACACCCAGACATATACGTGTTTGTAAAAGATGTGCTATGAATTCACCCAAGGGAGGGAAGGGGGGAAGAACTACAAAAGCAATGTGATCTTTCTGATTTTTCTCTACTGCATGAGATATTCAAATTTGACACAGAGCAAAGGGCAGTCACTGAAGGCACAAGTTTGTGTTTCTGGCTAGTCCTTTTCCTGCTGGTTAGCAGATCTTTTTGGACAGGCAGGTAGATTCCCAAGCATTCAAGCCACAGAAACTGTCAGCAGACTGGCACGCAGTCCATCTCTGCTGCCTTCTGCAAGCAGTATGTTATGCTCCCTAAGGATACCTCGCCTGCCTGCATGGAAGTACTATAGATTTTGCACAGGAGGGAATGAAAGAGAAGAGAGGATCAGCAGCTTCACTGTTTCAAGCTGGAAGCAGCCCAGTAGCAGATGCAACCCATAAGATGTGTTGCAGTAGTGGGCTCTTAGCAAGGTTTTTGCTGTATACAGCAAAACAACAGCACAACGTTGCACTAATGCACTTTCAAATTTTTCTCTTTCCCCTACAAGTGAATTTTTGTGGGATGAACACAGCAAGCTTAGAGTACAAGCAGTTTGTATTAGTAAAATACAACTCATCCATGCCTAATGTAAGCTTTCCTCTTCTGAGGATTTTCATAGCCAGAGGCTGTTAGTGGTACTAAATGCATCCGTGTTAGATGGATGACTGCAGCATTTGTGTATTAGTTAATGAAGATATAAAAACATTATGGGTTAGATCTGGCATTAGACAGTACTCTACATAAGGGAAATTGCATGAGAGGCATCACCCCAGAGGCACTGTGCCAGGAAGACATGGTGCCTTTGAGGGTTTGTCTACACAGGAACACAGAAGAAAATTAATTCAAATTACTTACGGTGTGAATTAAAAGCAGATTAGTTAAACTGAATTAAATCTTGATGTGGATGTTTTCATTAAGATATAAGTGGCTTTAATATGATATAATATAATTTACTTTGGGAGTGAAATGGCATAAATCAATTTGAAAAATTAATCCAGATTAATCTTCCATGTAGACTTGCTCCAGCTCATAATTCCATGTCTGCTCCCTTCCTGTCCCTGGTCATAGTTTTTGAACGACACCACCAGCAAATGATTCCAGTCACATACTCTTTCCAGCTCTGCCCATCACCTCGTGAGACAGGAGAAAAATCTAGCAATCCTTCATTTATACTTCTCTCCTGAGCAGCCCCTGGGAGCTGTATCCTGAACCTCACAGCCTGACCCCAACCTGTGCCACAAGCACAGCAGCTTCTGCCCTACACCCTAAACTAGATTTTATCATCAACACTGAAGATCCCTGGGTTTTGAAAAATAAAAGCAAATGCAAAATGTGCTAATGACTAAAGAGATGAGGGGATAGAAAAGATGAGCCTTTACAAAGACAGAGCACTCCTCTCCAGGTGAACCAGACTCTGATCATCCAAGCAAACTCTGAAGGCAGTGCCATCCACGCTGAGCACCACTTCCCCCATCCCATAACAGGTGATTTATAAGAACAATGGAGGGCTTTTTATAAATCTGAGGATCTCCATTTGTAAAATGGTTAAAGCAAATAACGGGGGTTGGCTCTGTTTCTCATGCTTCTTTTCCAAGAGTACAAGCGATCCCAGTCAGGACCACCAAGCCACACCAGAACTGCATTCCCCACCTTTCTTATGGGAGCAGAAGCCTCCTAGTGAATGGAAAGGATGCAGGAGGACTGGAGAGGAAGTCAAAATTTAAAAGAGGTCCATAGAAGTGCAAAATTGCCCCAGTATGGCAGTGAGCCACTACCCTTAACAGGACATATCTGGCCAGCTGCATACACAGCTGCTATGCTTTTGTCATATCTCTCTGCCAGGTTTCTGTACAGTCTTTACACGGCACAAGTAGAGGTGAGGATTTAAAGTATATATTTACTGTCAACTTGAAAAAGAAAGTTATACTGACCAAGTCTAATAGCATGTATTTGATATATAACTATAAACGTGCCATTCTGGACTCCAGCAAATGCCACCTGAGATAAATATTCAGCATTTTTGTTCATGCACTGGAAGAAGAATTCAAACATTTTGTCCATGACATATGCAAAGTAACTAATAGTTCTGATCTAGTATTAACAGTAAATATAGAACCTTAAACTTCACTGCAGTATATTAATATATATGATTTTAAGTACTGGACTGGAAAGACAACTTTTTTTTTTTTTCTTAAAAAAAAGAAGCTTTGTTCAGAATGCAATATATACATTGTCCTTTGACCAACACGTACATTTTTATACAATATATTTTGGCTACAGATATACTGCAGCAAAAGGCTGTGTGAGCCACCTTTACACACAGCTCACTCTTTCACTTACAACATTACAGCTGTTTATGGAGAGCTCTGAAGTCCCTGGTTGCATTACAAGGCCCTCCTCAGCTTCATCTAGTTCCATGCTGTTGAGTTCATTGCCATTTCGATAACTAGTTAAAGTCAGATCCTTCCCATATAAAGCTGTTGAAGCAACATTCAGACACTGATTCTGTCGCAGTGCTGATTTTTTACTGGTCTTGTATTGGCAGCGGATATAATTGGAAAAAGCCCTGCGGTATGTTTTATTGAAAAGTGTGTATACAAGGGGATTAATCCCAGAACAAACATACCCCACCCAAACAAACACATCGAGGAGTTCACTCAAGAGGTCTTTATCGCAGGCTTCCTTGCAAAGGACAGACATGACGTTAGTGATGAAAAATGGGCACCACATGATGAGGAACAAAAAGAAAACGATGCCCAGGACCTTGGAGGCTCTTCGTTCATTGTTGATGGACTGCATGGTTCCTTTCCGAAAAAGCACTGCCTCCTTATTCACAGGAGAGTTCAAGTGAGATGCCCCCTCATGATTGTGAAGCATTGAAATGTTCTCTGTGTTGTTTTCTTTTTTGAGGCAGTTCACACTGCTTCTCCTCTGCTTGGGCACCTCTCCACACATGAACACTGTTGCCTGTCTCTGCAGCACCTGGACGGTCAGGCAATATGTGATAACCATGATGATGAGAGGGATGAAGAATGCCATGAAGGATCCAATGAGGACGAAGTTCTCATCGTTGAGGACGCAAGTCCCATTTATGAATACCCTGGAGTCATCCTGCAAACCAATGACTGGAATGGGCATAGATATCCCTGGAGGAACAAAAGCAAAAAAGAGATGGTTAACTGGAGAGACAGGGCTCCAAAGAGGCAGCACAGTAGATGCAGGTCCTGCACACATTCAACCCACTGCATAAGGTTGTTTGAAAAAGAAATTACTCCCAGGTGGAGGTTAAAACCTTGTGTAACAACACTCCCGGGACTGCAGGCCCAGAGAGTGAGCAGCCTCCACTGGGAACTACTGCAGTATTGCTGTGCTCCACAGCTAACACAGCAAATCCAACATAACAACTCCTTTATCAAGAACTTTTTCTAGCATAAACTGTAGAAAAGGCAGTCATTACATTACTGTGTTACAGCTGGCTGCCAGTTTGTTGGGGAGGGGGTAGGATTGAAATCACAGGCATAGAGTAGATATTAGCAAATGTTAAAGAAGAAAATCATACAAATGGAGAAGAATGAAGATTTAAAAGTAAGTTTTTAGAAGATATTAAAATAATCCAGATAGAAAAATGGCAACTTTTGCCATAGCTTAACGGACACTTGGAAGTAAATCTCCTGGTTTTCTGGGTCCTTATCAGCTATGTTGGTGCAAGCAGGGTGATCTCTGTAAGCTCTGCCTGCCCAGACACTTCATCCACAAACAGCGTCAAACTGATAAGTACTGCAGAGACAGTCTTACTTGAATTCTTAGAGACCATTATGTAGTCAAATGAAAAGGCTGCAGAACACATCTGCCTGATTTCCCATCCCTGTATCTTGATTGAATACAAGGCTATGAACTGGAACAACAGACATCATGAGAGTAGAAAAGGTGTAATCAAAATGGTAATCAGATTGACATGACAGTCCAAAATCAGAATCCCAGCACAAACTCTCTGGCTGAAGGGAAGAAAACTTTAAATGACTCAATTATAACAACTGAGCACAGCTCCCACCTACTCCAAGGCACAGAGCAGATTAGTAAACTTTCAGAATCACCACACTGATCAAGGTAGTTTCTCTTGTATCCTGGTGGCACAGTAGAGCCACTTTTTATTGTCATGAACTAAATGGAAGACAAACAAGATTAAGAACACTTTGAATCCTTTTTCTCTCTTCAGCATCCCCTGGCCCAGCTTGTTTGTTCTGGATTTCAGGTCATCAGGCATTTCTGGAGCAGAAGCAGGAGTTCTGCCTGGAGAATCTCTGCAGGCAGCTGTGTGTCCACGCTGTTTGGCTATCTGACACATGGGCAGAGCAGACAGTATGTTCAGCCTGGAGCATGGCTGCCCAGGACTGCACATAGGAGTCCTCATCCACAGCTAGCTGCTGGCCTGTCTTTCACTGGGAGTAAAGGAATGAACAAATGAAAGCATTCTGAATAGCTCTAACTCACAGGCATTTACTCAGTGTCCTCTAACACTGATTTCCTCTGAGGAATATATATCTGTATATCTGATATATTTTACCTTGTGAAAGCCATCAGGAATTTACTGTGGGGAGGGAATTGAGGACTCATGCCAGAGAAGACTTTGCGTGTTTGTTATGCATAGTGAGATCCAAAGTTTGTCCCTTGGGAGCTCAGTCCCATGACAGGACAGACCTGAAGCCTTCCAAAGAAATCTGTCTACACGCAGCCAAAACCAACAAAAGCAATAACAACATATTTTGGAATATTATAACCAATGTGTATATCAGAATGCAGAAAAGACATGGTGGGCCAGATCTAGCTAGATCATTGTGGGTTCACCTAGCCTTGCCATTTTTTTTTTAAATCAATTTCCAGATGTTTGGGGCCATGATACAAAATGGAGCAGATGTTGACATTATACCTTAGAAAATTCCACAGCCAGAAGTGTACCCAATCCTTTTTTAAAATAAGCTTTGAGAGATCTGTCTTGTCTAAATTCCTGATCCCATTTGATCTCCATGATGTTCAGTGGCAATCAGTTTCACAACTTATCTATTTGTCATGTAAACAAAGTATATCTTTGCTGCCTGATAATTTCCTTTGACTCCAACAGCTTCTCTTCTGTGAGAAACAGTGAAAAATCACTCTCTGGTCACCTTTTCCACCTTCTCAGCGATTTTATAGACCTTTATCTTTTCTACCTTCTAACATCTCTTTTAGAAGTGAAGAATGCTTTTCTACTTATTCTATCCTCATGCCAAATTCATTTTATGCTTTTAATTATCTTTCTCCATTTTTTTTTTTATTTTTTTTTTTACAATTTTTTTGTCCTTTCAAGGAAAGGAAGAAAACTGCACGACCCAGCAATCAGAGAGCAGTAGAATGTATCTGTCTCCTGCTCCTTCCCTCCACAGCTTCCTGGCTGGCTGTGAGCACTCCCTCTGCACACATATCTGTGGGGCTGACCATGCTGTTCCCTAAGTCCTTCTTCCCAGCAATAACCAATTTTGAGGCCATTATTTTGCCTGGATTCCTTTTTTTGGGTAGCTGTGAATAACACAGGTCCTAGTCCTTTGGAATTCTACATTTCTAAAGGGAGAGTGTAACATGCTAAAACTATTAGCTAGGGTATTTTTTCCAGTGGGCCAAGTGTTTTCCAGGATTCTGAAGAATACATCTGCAATCAGACATTACTATAAATTACCACTTGCCAGTAAGTTAGTGAAGGAATTTCTTCTGAAAATTAATGAACTTAAACACCTTCTGTGATAATAGCTTGTGTTTCCTTAGTCCAAGTGATAGTTCCAGGATCCAGTCTTCTTTCCTCTAACATTTATCAGCTTACCCTTTGCAAGGTACTTGCTTCCTCTCTGATATGTTTATATCTTTTAACCTTCCTGTGCCAAGCCTCTGTCATTGCAATAACCTCTATCCAAGCAAGCCATTGACTTTTTATTGTTAAAGACATTTTTCTAATGCTTTGACTCCATCAAATTCCAGACACTCAGAAGGTGGAAAGTGGGAGGTAAAGAAAACAGTTTTTGCACAAAGAAATCTGAATTAGATCAATGGCATTACACTGAGATTTTATTTACATGGAGAGATTTTTTTTTTTTTTTTTTATATGTTTTAGAGTCTTGTAAAAGAAATAGTCTTTGAAACAAAACATAGAAAGGAATAGAGGTTCATTCATGAAGTAGTCTTCACTGAATTTTAAGTGTTATTACTTTAGCCGAAGGAAATGAGATGAGGTTTCAGGATATCCTCAGGTCACGCACGTAAATTACATTCATGAAAAATAACCCAGTTCTGGAATATGAATGCAGATGTCAAGAGTGCTGATAACAGTCTAAAATTCTACATGAGGAAGAAATACCTCAGCACTGATCATATGGAACAAGGAGGTAACTGCTGTAATGGAAAAATGTCCCTCACGTTTTTCATAACAAAGTGGGATTTCAAACCAAGAAAGCACAGAAGAGAGAGCTCCAGGTCTTTGTTTGCTCCTTCCTCTAATCCAGGAAAATCCCATTGTTAAACAGAAGGAGGAGGAAAGATGCCCTCAAAGGAGCCTGCCAACACATACTCATTCAGCTGCCTTCTTACAGAACTGCTGAACAGCCAGCATTTGCCTCATCTCAAATGCTTTCTTCTGCCTCACACTTCTCCTTTGTAGCTATACATTTTAGCAGCTATACATTTTAGTCATAGCTTCATAAAATAAAAAAAATTCTTTAATATGAAACTTATCACTGATCCACCTCACAATCCAGCCCTGAAGGGAACTAAGTCCACTTGGGGAATCAGGAGCAACTCTTCAACCCCCAGCACTGAGAACTGAAGTGCTATGAGTCTCAGACACCCCAGACAGGCTTCCTTCAGAGGGATTATTGCAAAACTGCAGCTGCCACAATCTCAAAAGCACAAATACCTGCTTTCAGACACTGCTCACACACTGACCCTGATTTTAATAGGTCACTACATGCAGTACATACCAGTAGGCATGCCTGTGGTATCTGAGCAAGGGCAAACAGAAATGCTGGCCTTATCTGAATTATGCTGTTTGAGCAAGCATGAAGAAGGCATTTGACTCCACTTGACTCAAATGCCCCACAGTGCTAACACTAGGGTTATAAATGTTCACAATTTAAGAAAGAAGAAGCCTACCACCAGGCAGCATTACTGCTGTTCAGCTCTGAGGCCCAGTGCAGAACATTTCTTGAACTTCTGCCTCGCAGCTGAGCTGGCACACTGCTCAAACTTTGAAAGTTTATTGAAAATCATGCTTTGCTCTTCACAGCAACCTTGGTCCTCTTGCTCAATGTTTAAGCAGTATCTAGGGCAACTGGGATTGCTTTGGTGAGAAGACAAAACCAGCCACCATGAGCCAGCAAGCCATAGACCAAGTTCCTGCTCAGCTGAATGCTGGAAGCACTTCCTGCCAGGCAGTAGCTTGGGTCAGACATCCCTTTTCATCACAGCAGTTTACAAAGGATATTAAGGTCATTTTTATCTTCTCCCCTCCCTGTCTGATAAAGCATGCAGGAAGCAAGATGGAGGGACATCCTCTGGATTACGAATCCAATTACAGTTGTTCTCCCATCTCTGCTTCCTGTCATCTTTAAAGTTGTTCTCAAGCCAGCAGATCAGTTCAACAAATGGGGCTGAGATGATGCTGTGGACACAGAGTAACAGATGCTCTTCACAGATTCCCAATTAATAAAACAAAACCCAAATGACTACAAATATGGCTTTGTAAAACATTTACTAGCTTGCTCCAGAAGAAAAGCTGGGTAAAAAGTCCAAATGTACAATTGACGGTCACAAAATGTAGAATTAAATGAAAAACAATAATGTTTTTGTGTTTAGTATCTTGTTTTCTTCTGTGAAAGCTTACGAGACTGATAAAGATTACTGGAAATATAGAGTCTTTGATGGTTTCCAATAAGAAGGAAATAATTTCCATTCTTTCTTCCTCACAACATTCTTGCATAAGAAGAGATTTGATTTCATTCAGGGACAACAACTTCAGTAAAGAAAACAGGAGCCTGCATATGGGTTTACTTTCTCTTTCCATGTGTGCGATTCTCAGGGTTGAACGCAAGCATAGTCACTTTTTACTGCTGGTTGATGGGCCTGG